TCTTCTTTTGAAAAGAAAAGGGTTTTTCCCTCTCTTTTTCCCCTTTTCCACTTGATACAACACGTTTAGCTTTTATACTTTCCTATATGGTTAGAAGTGAAATTTGTAGATTTTTATTTAAGTATTTTTTGCACTTCGTTCTTTTCATGATAATCAGAGAACTCTCCGAGTAATGTATTGTTGCTTGGTACAAAAAAATTTTAAAAAAAATTCTTATGGAAGAAAATGCTAAAAAAAATATTGTGAAACAATGAAGCTAAATGCAACATAAAAAATAATGTTTTTGATAAGAAACATCAGCTGATGCTTTTTGTTTTAGAAAATAATGGTCTTATTAAAATTAAATATTTACTTAAATAAGTTTTTAAGAAAAATTAAAAACATTTTACTGATATTATTAACGAACCCAGATTCATTAGTTTTAGTTTATTCCTAATAATTTTATTTATTAAATATGAAAAGTAAATTTGTATAACTTATGTATAACTTTAATATTTCAGTTTTATTGATTCTTGCAATTTATTCGTTCTTGTTTCATTAGTTCCTGTCATTCATGTGAATTTCAAAGTATGTGTTAGTATATGTTTTAAATATCCCAATAATTTTTATGAAATTACGGAGCAAATGCATAATGATTCTGATACACTAATATTTATTAGTTGATTTATCTAAACTTTTATGAATTAACAAACAAGTTAAAAAAAAAAAGAAGGGTTCGTTGTGCTTTTTTAAACGTTGCCAAAGTATGTTGAATGCCTGCGTTTACCTCTGGTACAACAAGTGAACCAGAATGGCTTCATCATGCCTAGGGCCGTAAGCAAATGGTTAAACAGAAAATATGATTAAATTGTACGTTTTAGTTAATGTCGAATCCAATTTTATTAAGCTGAGAATTCAATTCCAAAGAAGTTAAATTTTTAATATTTCATTATTAAAAACTATTTGAATAATTTCGCATGAGTTCTGCATTTTAAAATGACATAGTTTAAAATGATGTCAAAATTAGTAAATCTTACATTTCAAAAGATTTTCTGCCATTTCAATTTAAAAATTGATAAATAATTATGAGAAAATGTCTGCATAAAATTATTTTTATTTAATCAGTTTCATAATTGTGTGCAGAAAATTTTTGGTCCTTTTTTATAGTTCCATATGCATGATTAAATTATCGTGATCATATTTTCTAGATTTTGGCTACTTCCGTAGTTCGAGAGTCAAAAATTCGAATCCGCCGTTATATTAATTCAAAGGAATTATGTTTATGCATCTGGTTTCGTAAAATATCGTCTGCGCAAAATTAACCCTAAAACCATTAAGATTTCATCGTAGCTTATGAAAATCCATTCACTGGATCAATAGTTATTAAGGTTTTTCTGAACACTGTACATAATAACTCTAAATTCAATTGAACCTGAAACTATTTGCTTATTATAAATAATTTTATTGTGATTTCATTAATGGAATAGTTAGAGTAAGAACTTGAATTACTCAGAGAAAGAAATGGAGTAGGAAGAAAAATATCGTTTGAACGTTATTTATGAACGCTCGTACATCCAAATCTCCTCCTTTATTAGCTTAGATCGTGTAAACAAAAGCGAAAAATACTTCCTGGTTGAAAGGGTTAAATAGAAGTTATCGAAAGATAAACAACTTAAAGACTTTCAGTTTCTTCGTTTAAACTATTTCTGAAGCTAACGAAGTGTTGATTGGTAGGAAAAACCTAACAATGTAAACTGAATGTCAGAGAAAGAAATAATAACAAATAGATTGAAAGTCAGCCATTTTTTTTTCCACCAGCTTATTTGAAAGAAGATATTTAAAAAAAAATATCTTGTTTGAGTTGTTCTTGTCTGGCTGTCAGGCGGCAAAAGATCCTTCAAACTCTTAAATACGATTGCGTAACAAAGCCGGTGGACAGCAACATTCTGATTTAGAATCTTTCATGCGTTTTATCTAAATTTTAAAGATTTCGTGATTTGATTGTGACCAATGAAAATTGCTTTTGTGGAAGCAATTCCAGATGTTTTGCTGATGGATGAAATAAAGTAAACAAAACTCAATACTAAATACGGATCTTTGTATTTAATTCTAATTTTAAAGCGTAGAGTTAAAACATTTTAAAAGGAAAGTTTTTTCAAGTATTTTTATAATGTAGCACAACAGTACCTTTTAAAATACTTAACCTTTACTCATACTACTATATATATATTTTAGACATAAACAGAAAAGAAGGTAAATGTTAAATTATTAAACTTAAACCTGAATGTAAGCTTTCTTTTATGAAAAAAAGGTACTGGAACTACAAATAAATTATCTCTTCTAAGTAAATTAAAGTGTTTGAAACAAATGTTTATTTTTATTTGCAAACGCATACATGACTTTTCGCAAATTAAAACTTTTATCACAGCTCGTTTGTCATTCACTTCTCAGCGGTAGAAACGTTTCTAAAGACGCAGAAAAATAAGCGTAAAACTCTACAAACAAAAGGAAGGGAAATAGGAAGTAGCGAGAACAATTTTTCAGGAGTGATTCTCGGTTCAAATGTTCGCTTTGGAACATTTTTGTTCTTTTGAACGAAGTAGCACGAAGAAAGGAAAAGGTAAAAACAATCAGGAATTACAGTTTATCAGATATCTGACGCCAATCACTGTTGTTAATTAAGCTGTCATTCTAAAGATTATCCTGACTGTAACATACTGAAGTCAAGGTGAAGTGAAGAAAAAGAGAGGGGAAAAAAAGAGAGAATTAAAACTATCTTTCCGCGTTTACTGATAACACAAGCAAGCGTGAGATGGGAGTTAATCAAAAACCTTTAACCGTTTTCTAAATTCTGTTAAAAATCTGTTCTTGGGGATTATACTTTAAACTAGAATATATTATTTTTAGAATCGTATTTTGGCGAATGATTTTCCTACATTTTCTTCTTTTAAAATCTGATCGAAGGGAATGTGCTTTCCACTAGAAAATTTTATTTTCAGAATTGTATTTTGTCGAATGATTTTACTACATTTTCTTCTTTAAAAATCTGTTCTTGGGGAATGTACTTTCAACTAGAAAATATTATTTTTAGAATCAAACTTTGCCAAATGATTTTCCTACATTCTCTTTTCTTAAAATTCTTTCTTGTGGAATATAGTTCCCACTGTAAATATTGTTTTTAGAATTGTATTTTATTAAATAATGGTCGAAAATTTTTTTAACTTTAAGGCATGCAATTTTTTACACCATTTTAAAGTATGTAATTTTACATCGAAAAGTACAAAATTAGAGCGAAATTGGTTGAATAGTTCCTAAGAAATTGAATTTCAAAAAAGTCAAACATCTAAAATTCGATATCTCAGTTTCAATGTTTTTTCTTAAAAGCTGCTGTTCTAACTTTTATGCAAATTTCAAACAAACCAACAAAAAAATTCATAATCACAAAAAAGGAATTTACGTCATAATTCAACCATGTTGACAAGTCTAGCAATAATTATAACGCATTACTTCAGTTTTTAATTAAAAACTTGCAATATCTCTAACAGTATGATTTTATGATAATAAGCCACCTGCATTTCAAATGATAATTTCCGTTACAGCTGCAGTTAAGTGTCACACTAACCAAAAGATTTGCTGATGTGTATATACCTGGTGGCAGAAATACAAAGCTTGCATGTTCAGTGGACAGACGATAATTATCACCTCTTTTTTTATTTTCTAAAAAAGTGCGAATAGAATTAGTTATCTCAATTACATTCATTTTATCTCGCTTTTGAATCGATTATTGTGGAAATCACCGTAATTTTTCAAATTTTGTTCATTGTGTGTTCGTGCTGCTACTTTCGACATTTGCAGCGATGCTAGGAAAAGATAAGCTTTACTGGCGTTACGTGCTTAAGTAAAAGAATTAGATAATTTCTTCTAAGAATGGAATATAATTGTTCGATTTCTAGTGGAATGTTTTTCTGTAGGGGTGTTTATTATCACGAAATTTTGATGCCTTAATCGAACATTTAGCATAAAGGGAATGAACTGTTTTCTTAAATGAAACTCTTTGTGGATTGTTTTTAACTTATAAGGAATAATAGAGTGAACGAAATTCTTATCTTAAATGTGATGTTAAAAAAAAGGTGCAACAGTTGAATTAACTTTCATAATTAGATTTTTATAGGACGCTGAGATAAAAGAATTGGGAAAAAAATTCTTTTTTTTTTTTGGAATAGCATTTAGTTCTTAAGTATATGTTGAGATTCGCTTAAAATTGAATATATACATACATAAATGCAATTTTTAATGTTAGCATTTAATTTACAATAATATGTTACATTTTATGAAAGTTTCAAATTTGAAAAAAAAATTAATGAATTTTAAAATAAATATTTGTTTTGGTATTAGTGTTTAATCATTGATTCTATGAATTAAAAATTTTCAATGTGGGAGAGGGTGCTAAACTATACAATATAATATATTTAATAATTTAATATTGTATAATTTAATATATATTGCGTAAAATTATTTGAAGTATTAACATTTAATTTTTAACAATATCTCTGTTCCACTTTGAAGGAAACCTAAAGTGAGAAGCTATTGTTTTTCCACATAAATAGCTCTTACTGTCGAAGTTAATTGAAATAAAATCGATAAGGACTGTGTTCGATTCTAATTACTTTATACTGTTCTCATTTTTGATTGGTTTATAGTATTTGGTATCATAGATATTAATTAGTTTGGAACCTAAAATATCATTCATAGGTTATATGCTACAAATACATAAACAAGAAATAAATGCATAATCCCGGAAAATTGAGGAGGAATGATGTATTTAAGTATATAAAACGTCATGCTTCAAAAATTATGGTAGGTTTTGAGAATGGGTGCCTAATTTTGAGAGCTAGAAACATGTTACTACAATCCTCATATTTTTTGAAGCAAGTAAAGTTTTGTATCGTCAACTATGCACACGCAATCGTCGAAATTATTTATTTATTAATACAATAGTTAGATTACTGATGTAAATTTACCTCGTTGAGTTGATGACGTCATTGTTATGTGAAGTTCTTTCTTTGATGACTGATGAGGACTCTGGTCCTCTTCCTGAGGATGAAGATGAGTTAAGGTGACCATGTGATGAAGAGTTTAGACCCTGGGCGGAACTCGGGTGCGCCCCTGTAGCCGCCAGAGGCAGTGTACCGGATAACATAGAGTTGTGATGAGCCGCAGCAGCCGCGGCATGATTTAGAGCCATAAAAGGAAGGGGGTTGAGGTGAGGTGGGGCGCCGCCCGTGGCTGCAGCTACAGCGGCCTGCGCCGCAGCTACATGATGACTGTAACCATTGGCTAATAGATGCGACTTGTCAACTCTATCACCTAAATATGCATAAAAAATACACATTTTGTTAATAAAATTTGCTCAAAAATATTATTTATTTTAATAGCATATTTATTTTAGTATATTATTAGCAAAATTAAAATGTAAATTAAAAAACAATCATAATTTTATTCAGAAATAGAAACTTACAAAAAATAACATTTGAAAATGATATGAATTACAACTTATTAATGTTTCGCTTAACAATTTCCCTATACTATTTGATGATATAGCAGAACAGAAGTAAATAAATCGATGATTAAATAACTTTTAAAATATAATAAAGCATTGAAAATAATTTCTTTTTCACATATTGATTTTGATGCATTCGACTATAAATACTAACTATATATACTAACTATATATACATAAATGTATGTTAAATATCTTTTAAATTATAATAAAACATTGAAATTTAATTATTTTCCGAAAAGTGATTTTATTGCGCTTTAAGCGTGTTTTAGTTGCTTCTTAAAGCAAAATGCTAAATTTGAAATACACCAGAGCCAATCTTGCAAGTTATGTATGCAAAATTTAAAACATATAGTTGTTTAAAGCTGATTTTCATTTGTATTTTTCTTATCTTTTTTACCTGAGTTATTGAAACTAATATGTTAGGTCCAGTATTTGTATGATAGACGTCGAATTGTTATATTTTGTTATAATTATGAATTATGATCACAACTATGCATTTAGAGTGAATGTGTGCAACGTAAGTATAGTTATTAACTAATCTTATATTATTTTTATAATTTTAAATATTAGTAACACTTTCTATAGAAATTTTAAATGTTTAAAAAATAAGCTGACTTTGAAGAGAAAAAAAAAACGCTGAAAAATGATCCAGCATTATTTTTTTATAACTCTCTTACAATTTCATGTATTTTTTTCTTATTAAAAACTATTATTAAGATTTAAAGCATTAAATGTATTTTTTTCATGTCAAAATGTAACACATAGAAAACTAGGTTACATATTTTGTGTTAGAAAAAAAGAAAATAATGCCTAACAAAATATTGCAAAACTTATAACTTTAACAAAAAATAAATAACTGATTAAAGTTGTTACAGCTAATTACTATCAATTATCACACTTTAATTACAATCATTTATGATTGGTTGAAATACTTAGCTACAAAACCTTGAGACACACATAATTTGAAATAAGTATATGTAAATGACAAATAATAAGCCGTTTCAATCACTCTTATGATTGTCGGATCATTTAATAAGTCATAAGTAATTAAAATAATATTTTATCATTAAGTTAAGTGATTTATTAATTTCTCTTAATTGTTTTCAAACGGTACTATTAAGGAAAAATAAATTTTATTACATTACAAACCACATCTGCAATAAATATGAAATAATTCAAATTACTGACATGCTGAAGGAATCAAGATTTTCATTAATCAATATCATAGCTTAAAGTAAATAATTGAAAAATGAAGTTAAATATAATGATGTAAGGCCAAAAACGGAAGTAATTGCACCCTTTGGCGATGTATTATTTAATTATTTCAAACACATGGCGAGAATTTTTATTTTGCACTAATGAAGAAAACGCAAGCTGATTTCAAAATCAGGTGTATTAAAAATAAAACGTGCTGGATTCTAAAGGAAGCAAGTTAGATCGAAATAACCCCTCGAGGAATTTAATTTCCTTTTGTTTTGTTGAAGTAAATGATTTTTGTAAAAATTGCTGGCTATAAAATAAGATAAAATATAATTGTTTCATTATTCGAAACATAAATCGAATAATTGAAATTTAACTTTATAATGACGGTGAATATCTATGCAACGTCTTTCAGGAGTTTTAAAAACAAACCTAATGAAAATGACAGGAGTTGAATTGTGGGATTGGAATTAAAAGAAAGAGTTGATTACCGTTTTAATTTCTTAATTATGGACACAAAAGCTTTGTCAAATTAGAGAAAAGGCGGCTTTTGTTTGGGATTCGCTTAAAAAGTTAACATTGCGAATATATTAACAAGGATCTATTTTAAAACTTGATTTGAATCTACTTTACTTTTCCTTTATGTTTTTGTTAACTTTTGGAAAGTTAAAAGGATTTTTTTTTCTTAAAAATAATGTGTTTCAAACGGTAAAATTGACTTATATTTTCGTCCTTAAATTTTTTATATTAAATTTGATGTTATTTTAAATTGTTATAATTGAAAATAAGAATTAATTTAAGAAATATTTTGGAATTTTAGTTATTCGCACTATTCACGAACTGACTGTATTAGAAACTATTAAATTGATAAAATTGTGCAGCAAAATTATTAAATTTAAAAAGGAAATTTTTTCTTTGCCTGTATTTTTTTACATAATATAGGTTAGTTGTGTATTGTGTTGTATTGTAATTGTATATTGTGTTGTGTAGTACTGTGTATATTGTATTGTAGGGGTATATTGTGTTACAATAAATAAAAAAAACATGGTTTAACTTAACATAACATAGCTTTGTTGCTTAACCTAACTTATCTAACCCACTATATTTACGTAAATGTAATGCCACTGTGTTTGTATTGTTTGTATTTCATATTTAAAAGGAGCAATTCAAAACTATAGTAACCTTTTATATTAAATTGTATAGTTAAATCGTTTATAATTTTGAGTAAATTTATACAAAATACTTTAACATTCGGAATCCAAAATCGGAAAAACTATAATAATTCTGTTATTTTAAAAGAGGCAGATGATCTTTCTGATTGTTTTTCTTCTTAATTTGACTCGAAAAGGAGCTAGTTAACATTTCGTGACTCCTAAGTCACGTGATCTAGGTATACTTCTAATGGCATTGGAGTTATGCATCAAAGTTGGAAGTTCGTTCCAAAATCAAGCTCATTTGTCACTCAGATTCATTAACATTTGTTCTATTTTTTTCCTTCCGATTTCTGTTCTTGATTAGGTAGAATAACAAAGGAAGAAGAAAAACAGGGGTCGTTCAAACCCAACTCCCAAATCAACTGAGAATATGCATCTTTACCTACACCACGACACGAAAGGTTTGTCTAATTGGAATATTTCTGGCCATTCACAAATTGCAAACAGCAATTTCGTATTTTGTTTCAGAGTGAAAAACATTTCTTCTTTGATGTGCTTATTAGGTTTAATACCTAAACTATAGTTGCTAATTAGGTTAAAACCAAAACCCTAATTGATGTTGCATGTTACCTAATTTAACGTTACTTATTAGGTTTAAACCAAAACTAAAATTAAAGCAGCGTTATTAGGTTTAACAATAATCCAGCTGAAAATTATTAGCTTAAGTACATACTTTGAGATTTTGAATAAATGATGAACATAAAGTAATATTAATCATAAAGTACTAACTAAACATAAAGTACTAATTATACATACATTTTTTAGAATATAATATATAATGTAGCTGAATAGAGTGTAGAATATAGAATATAATATAGCTGAAAGAACTGGACAAATCACGTAAAAAAAAACGTAAGCATAACTTCATCTTAACTAATAATATACATGAAATACGTTATATGCTGAAATAGTCGCTTTAATAGGTTTTTAAAGATTTTTATTTTTTTATTTTTAGGTTTGGGAGATATTTTTAGATTTTGGTGATTTGTTTAGATTTTAAATCAGCTTTTAATTTATTGTTCTTATACATCATTTGCAAAAAATTTTTTTCATTTATTTTTAGAATTAATAATTCTGTACTATTTGTTCATTTCTATTCTTTTTTTCTCCAAGAGTCAGAGAAAGTTACAAACTATCTAGCATTTAGAACAGAAATTTAGATTTTAAATTTTCATATTTAAATGTCAATTTCATGTTAATTCGTAATTATCCCCTTTGCATTAGTTGTTTAGTTGCACTATTTTATTTTTTTTTCAATATATTTCGTTTTATTAAAAACGCAATATTAATTTAAATTGAAAATTAAGTCATTTTTTTTAATTATATTGTCCAATATACTTTCAGTTTTTCAAAAGTTTTCTTCATAATTAAATATATTCTCGAACAGAAATATTCTAAAAATTTAAAAAAAGTAAGTATAATATTAGAAAAAAATAATTAATTCTAAAATTGGTTTTACTTTTAAAACTAGTGAACTTAAATACTACAAATGAAGTGCACTTCACTGTTTCACACTCCAATTTTTATATGCGGAGAGTCCCAAAAAAACGAAATTAACAAAAATAACCGAGACCATTTAAACCAGATGTCGCGTTTTCAGAAAAACCTTAACTTTGCATTAACACACGCATACAAAATGCATGATTGCGAACCCATCTAAGAAACCCTGCAGTTATCAGGCAGTCATTCGTCATATAAAACGACTTCCTGTTGACTTTGGCAATAAAACTCTTTTACTAATTGAATTTTTTTTCGCCACTCTTGGCTAAAAACTCGACGTATGACAACTCATAATTCAAGCCTCTGTCTCGCTTCTAAGATCTGAGAAAACAAGTCGATTGTTTCACTAATTCGTGTTTTTGAGAAATTAATTCTAAGACTGCTTTGGGCGATTGAATGAATGTGTAGAAACTAGCATGTGTTCTGAATTTATTATGCAGTTGATTTGTGTGCGCATTTGCATCTGCGTTGATCGCATTGATAAATACATTTTTCAAATTGATTTTTTGTAACAGATAACCTTTTATAGTTGTTGGGCAACTTTGGATTACATTAGTATTGATTTATTCTATTGTTTTGAATGTATGGCGTAGTTGGAAGTTTAACCCTTTGTGTGCGTGTCACCACTGAATTATTGTTGAAGAATTGTATTCTCCTTATTATATATATTTTTTTAATTAAATGGATTTTGGAATAGTTGTACGTGGTGTTTTATAAATAGAAACTGGTCAAGTAGGCTTAATGTGAAGCAAAATTTCGTTTCGTTTTTTTGTCGTCTAAATTCTACACGAAAGTTAAGATACAATTACGCAATGATATGAAGCGATTTTGGGATAGTTGTACGCGATTTTTTATAAATGGAAACTGGTCAACTACGCACAATGTGAAGC